AAACAAGCCTATTTCTAGGGGTACAATACAAAAGAATATATATATATATTCATATATATACACATATATGCATACAATAATTCTTTTTTCCCACACTCTCTCTCAAGCTGGTGAATAGGTGTATTCCATTCCCAACTTGGAGATAATATTCTGGAACACTGGACTACTTATGGCAAGTACATTAGCAAGTTGGCTGTTTGTGGGCATGTAAGGCGTAGAAATCAACTCACTCTCCGATTTTTCTCTGACAAAGTGTTTATCAAGTTTGATACGCGTCATTTAATCATGTTGTACGGGATTATTGGTTATGCTGATGGCAAACTTTAGGGTCTCAAAAGACCGTCCTATTTATTCTTTAAATCTTCTAAGATGATTGTTATCCAAAGTAGTCCACACACACCTTGGGCTATTGCCCGAAATTCTGCTTATACATCATGTTACCACATTCTATTTTTCTGCTCCTCCATGTCACCATACTGCCAAGAAAGATGCCAATATCCAGAGTTTAACCTCCTGTTGATGATCGACCCAACATAATTGGCATATGTATATGCCTCAACATCTATTCCTCTTTCTTTTGAAGAGAATACATTTTCCTGGTGTATCTTTAAGATATTGTAATATTCAGTGAGTTGGTTGTAAATGGACTTCTTAGGTTTATGAGTAAACTGACAAATCACACTTGCTGCATATGCTATACTTGTTTGTGTGTGGGATAGATAAATGAGTCTTTCCACTGAGTATAAACTGACTGATCACACTTACTGTAACATTATACATACATGTAATAATTCCTTTTTCTGACAATATCACATGCACCAAACTTGTTATAACTGAATTTCACAAGGAGTTGTGAATATATCAATTAGTTGGTTTGTTTCCTTTGCACGAGTATTGTAATCACATTATCGAGAAGCTTTTCTTTGATCAAATGATAGTTAACTTCAATATGTTTAATTCTCATAAAAAAGTTACGGTTGAAGCCATGTAGATAATTGCCTCGGTGCCGCATTTGAACAAGCTTGTAAGTAAATGATTTAGCCCAATCAACTCATTAGTTGTCTGAGCTTTTAGCTCAATCACCATCTTATTACATGATTTCATAACGATGATTAGCTTCTTGTATTTCTAAGACACCATGTTTCCATCCATGAAAATATAATAATCTATTTTAGATCTATGCTCTGAAGGGGAACAAACTCAATTAGCAACTTGGTTATATCTCAAGATGTGCACAACTGCCTCCTGGGGACTAGTTTGAGGGAAGTCCTTAAACTGATTCCCGATATCCACAGTGAATGAAATGTTTGGGCAAGTCATGATTAGTTTAGTCTTTGAACTAACCTAGATTTTGTTGAGGGACCTTCTTCTTCGGTGTTGCTTAATATCAGGGGTAAGAGCAATTGGTGATACTTTTGTTATAGCTTCGCAAGACTGAGATAGAGAAAGTAAGGACTAAGAAGCAAGATCAACTTGGTCATTTTCATACTATGTGCTTGTTGAATTATGAAAATAGGTTAGGACACTCTATTGATGAAGTTAGAGATAGACGACTAGACATGCCTTTTGAGGAGAGTTAGATTAGAAATGCAGTTTAAGATCTGATGGCTTTCAATTGAGGTTTTTTTTTTGGCTGTTGGAAGTTTCTCAAAGGAGACTTGTTAAAGGTTTTCTTAGAGATGTTCTTGAATGGCAAATTGCTGCCGACATATTACCATTTTTATTACTTTGATTTTGGAAAAGGATTGTTATATTAAGATACAAACTCTGGATCTGTCAGCTTCTGAATAGTGTTTATAAGATATTAAGAAGGTTGTATTGGTGAGCTTGAGAAAAGTTCACCTCTCATGCAATCTACAAGGCACTACATTACCTAAAGGCTAATCCTGATGAAGGAATTTTATTTAAAAAGAATATTGAATTAGTCCTTGGTGCATGCCCTGGTGTAGATTATGCACAGTCACCAGTTAATAGGCAATCCAGTATAGGTTATTATTATACTTTCTTTGGAGGTAATCTTGTGACTTAATGGAGCAACAAGCAAGAGGTGGTTGCTAGATCAAGTGCAAGGGCAGAGTTCACAATGCTGGTACAAAGAGAGTGCGAATTATTAGATGAGAAGGACTAATGAGATTATTTTACAACAAATTTGCTATTAACAAGGTTACAATCCTGTGCACCATTAAAGAATTAAGCACATTGATTAGATGTATACTTCTTAAAGGAAAAGTTGGATAGTTTTTTTTTTTTTGGTACTCCAACGTCCCAACTAATGGTCAATTTGTAGATATGCTGACAGAAAGACTCTGTAGTGCAACATTTCATGGACTTATTTCTAAGCGACATTTATGGACTTAAGAAAGCTAGGAAGAAAAGATGCATATTCACCACTTGAGGAAGAATGTTGGAAGACTCTTCAGTCACATCTTAGTATTAGGAAACTATTTACTTAAAAATATGAGATATCAGTTGGTAAACCCCCCCCTGGCATGAAATTTGATCTAATTTGCTATATTTTCCTATATTGTCTCTTTGTAACAGCTATATACCCATGTATAAGTCAATCTTTCTCTTAATTCGACATAGTGGCATGCTGCTGATTCGTGTTTGCAAATGTGTCTCATCAAATTGATAGAACCTATAAAAAGTTACCTATTGAACCACTTTGAGACAAATGTCTTTGTATGTCATGTGGTTGTTCATGTTTGCCCTTCATATTGTGAAAGATTGTCTTGTGTGCAACTTTTATGGCACCAAGCTGTTATTCTTTCTGAATTTTAAAATTTTCTGATTTCTGAAAGTCTCTGTTAATTTCAAAAATTCTCAAGAATATCTGCATGTTCGTTGCGTTTGTTGTTCCTTCTGTTGCTTGTGAATTTACTTTTATTAATGCAGGTACAAGACCAGGCTTTAATATTCATCATGGGTATCTGATCTTGCTTCTGTTCTTTTTTTTTTCAGATTGGAAAGATATTTAAAGCTTTAGAGGTTAGCAAAAAGATGAAGTCTGCTGGCATAAGTCACAACATGAAGACCTACTCCATGTTGATCAATGGGTTCATAAAGTTAAAAGATTGGGCAAATGCTTTTGCAATTTTTGAAGATGTGATCAAGGATGGTTTGAAGCCTGATGTGGTTCTGTATAACAACATTGTTACAGCATTTTGTGGAATGGGTAACATGGATCGAGCCATTCATATTGTTAAGGAAATGCAGAAGGAGAGACATAAGCCGACCTCACGTACATTTATGCCCATAATACATGGTTTTGCCAGATCTGGAGATATGAGAAGAGCCCTCGATGTATTTGATATGATGAGGCGAAGTGGTTGCATCCCTACTGTACACACTTTCAATGCAGTGATTCTTGGCCTTGTCGAGAAGCGTCAGGTAGGATACATTTTCAGAGAACAAGTTGTAGGAGCATCAGAGGGGCTTGATTCCAAATGTTATGTTATATATATTTATCAATTCTTTACTCAGTGACACAACATCTGTTATTCTTGTCATCTCTACCTCACCTATGCATAAACTTATGTGCAAAAGTTCTAATAAGTTTTCTTTTCCCATTTTATTTCTATGCTCTTAGTTCCGAAATATAGTAGTTTTCGATAAAGGTGCGTCATAAATTTATGTGCAAGAGTTCTAATAAGTTTTCTTTTCCCATTTTATTTCTGTGCTCTTAGTTCCGAAATATAGTAGTTTTCGATAAAGGTGCGTCGAATTATTAATCAAATTTTATTAAGACTTATTCTCCATTTCAAAAAATGAATCTTGACTTTTTTTTTTTTTTCCCCTTTTATTCTCAAACGAAGTGCCACATGTGGGTAGCTTGGGAAAGTTCTTACATGGAAAATGTTTTTTTAGCTTTCATTTCCTACTTATTTATGTATTGAAACGAGTATGTTGGTAAGTGTCCATATGGTGGGTAAATATAAATGAAATATAGTTTTCTAAAAGATACTGAACTTTCTATTATTTCAAACTCGTGCATATATGTTTACTTCCATTTTTTTTTTATTTTTGTTTAGATTCCAACTACTATACATGTTTTTATATATAAATTTTTTCTTGTATGAAAAATATCGTCAACTTGTTTACAAATTATGAGATCTGGAGGGTGATAAGAAATTCAAGAGACTGACAAAGTAACAAATATTTTGGGGGAGGAAAAAAGTATTGCTAGAGCGAGAAGGGTAGAGTTCGTAGGTTGAACTAAGCCTAGGAGATGGCGTGTATTCGGGGATCAGTTTCTTCTAGAACTGCAGTTAAGTAGAAATAATCTGTACCCGAATAGAGGTACAGGAACGCAAGTAAGCTCTTTGGAACTCACTAGAAGGGGGTGTTGAGAAGGACTATAGTTTTGTTGGAACTTCTGTAAATTGGAGCTTATCACCAATCTCTGACAACTATCCTACTTTCTATATAAGAAATGCTATATGATGGCCAAGGAGTCAAGGCATGCAAAGTTTTTCTAGCATTTGATACGTGCAGCTTTGCAATCTCTTGACATCTATGGAGCAGAGTGTTAAGGATACTAGTCAGCAACTAAGTCACTAAATAACTTAGTCTGTAAACTGCAGATAGATTGCCATAATCTGATCTACCTATCTTATCTTCATCATGCAATTACCTAACTCGAATATAATTTTCTGTAGATGGAAAAGGCTGTTGAAATACTGGATGAGATGATGTTGGCAGGCATAAGTCCAAATGAGCATACCTACACGACAATCATGCAAGGCTATGCATCATTAGGTGATACTGGAAAGGCATTCGAGTATTTTACTAAATTGAGAAATGAGGGTCTGGAGCTTGATGTGTTCACATATGAGGCATTACTGAAGGCGTGCTGCAAGGCAGGCAGGATGCAAAGTGCACTAGCTGTCACCAAAGAAATGAACGCTCAAAAGATTCCACGTAACACCTTTGTCTATAACATACTGATTGACGGGTATGGATTCTTCAGAGTAAATTATAATAATTGGAAATGTAATAACTTGAAGCAGTCTGTTTTCTTTTTTTAATTTTTTCTTATCATCTGAGTTTGTTAGGACCTAGCTATGGCATCATTTTGGAACAGCTTCTGCAGATAGAATAATTAGTCTTTCATTTAATGGATGTAATAAAGTGATAGTATTTTATTTTCCAACTATTTGCAGTAACCTACGAATCAGTTGGAGTGTCAGCATAATTGGCATTATAGTTAGAACAATATCCAGGAAGTTTGAATAATTGGCTGTACTTGTATATGTAATCTCTGTTAGTTGTACATACTGAAAATTAATGAAAATTCGAGTATCAAAACCTTCTACAGTTTCCTTCTTTTCCTCTTCTCCTCCACTCTCTTCTTTTCCAACCTTCTCACTTCCCCTGTTTTATTCATCTCCTTTGGGTGATGAGTCAGGTAACGAGTAAGGCTTTTACTATCTGGTACGTTCCCTACGCCTAAAGGAAGCAAAACGTGGGAATACCATTCAAACTCAGGGATCTATAGGTAGCATGTTGGAAAATAATACCCTTAGAATAGACATCCCCCTGTTTGAAGGAATTAATCATGGAGCTTGAGTGAGGAGATGCCAAAAGTAGTTCCAGGTTTATGGGATTTTGGATGACCAAAAAGTGGAGTTGGTTGCCTTACTGTTTGGTAAAAAACCAGATGCAAAGTACCAAGAGTAGCAGGTTCAAAATGGTGAGATGGAGTGGACAATGTTTGATCCGGAACCGAGCAAGTGTTTCAGGACTATAGTGTCTGCGGGGAGATTTTAATAATTTACTTGGGAAGGAATATCCTGAACTACGAAGGAA